TGCTTCATCTTTCATTTGTTCATTTTGTTAAGCTAACTATAAACAAATTAAATCATTCCTTGCTTCTTCAGTCATAAACTATCTGGAATTTTTTAGTCCCGTATTTATTCTGAATATAGTCAATCCATCTTCTCCACTCCAGTTTATATTTCTCATCTGAATGATCCTTAAGATATGCAGATATTTTAGCCATCTCTGCTAAGTTTGTTAACTTTTAATGTCCATTCTTGAATAGTAGGCAAATCTTCCTTCTTCCAATATTGTGCCACCAACAGTCTTGCTGCCGTTGTTAGGTTCAAAATCAGATTAGTCTCTATAACAGTACAATCAGTAGTTATACCTAACAGGAATAACTGAGGGGTCATGTGTTTTATATACAAATGCTTGACAACTGGTTCATATTTATGACAGCTGCAGCGTCCCGGGGGCATTGTGACCATCTTTTGTGATTTCCTGACAAGCAAAGTCAAAGGGAAAGCCAGTTTCGCATAACAACCTTGTTATCAGCTTAGAAACTGCAGTGATTCGCTTAGCAACGGTGGCAGGAAAAGCTGTAAAATGGAGCAAAACTCACTTAACACATTTCTCAATTGGCAACGTGAAATCTGGGCTCAGTTGTCGTGGTAAGTCGAGGGCTACTGTAGATGGCAATTGCAGTTAAAACTTTGCCTGCATACAGGTCCATGGATCTAGTCCTTCGTGGCAAGAACTCCAGAATGCAATCTTGACTGAATTTGCTTCCCTCTGTAAGCTCCAGAAGTTGGATGTGGGGTGAGTGGGAGGTGCTTCCTCATTTGGGAAAAGTGAAAGTGAATGCTTTTAAGCATACCTCACTTAAGTGGAGGATGTTCCTTACTAACTAGAATCAACACAAAAGGTTATCGGAGTTGTAGGGGAGATGGGAGAAAGAAGGAAGGAAGGAACGAAGGAAGGTAGGAAAGAAGGGAGGAAGGAAGGGAGGAAAGAAGGAAAGAAAGAAGGAAGAAAGAGAAAGAAAGAAAGAAAAAGAAAGATGAAGGAAGGAAGAAGGAAGAGAAAGAAAAAGAAAGATTCTGCTGCGGAAATTGGCTTGCTAAG